GTCTCAGTCCCGGTCTCAGTCTCGGTCTCAGGTCTGGCCTGGTGCTGGTCTCAGTCTCGGTCTGGTCCCGGTCTGGTCTCGGTCTCAGTCCCGGTCTCAGTCTCGGTCTGGTCTCGGTCTCAGTCCTGGTCTCAGTCCCGGTCAAACGGAGCACCTCATTCATTCATTCATAAGAATAATGTGATCAGTAGTTTGTGTTTTGGCCGCAGACGCCGAAAAATAATATTTACATCCACATTATCACTTTGTTTTAAATAAAAAGAACAAACCTGGAATATGACACTGATTTTTTTCTATTGGGTCATTTTCTTATTTCCAAAAAAAAAAAAAAAGGTTTCCATGTTGGTTTCTATCTCACACTTTCCACAGGTTTATACATGTATGTCTATGGCACTTTCTGCTTCACTGAGGTAAATGTGTCACTTCCGGGTCACGGAAACGGGAAACGACCATTATCTGTTTTTTCCATTATTCATTTAAACACAAAATCGAAAAAACGAATAGGGTCTGTGTACCATTTGTTCTTTTGAATTTCAATTAAGAACGAAAAAAACAAACAAACAATAAAACAGAAAACAGTTTGATTTTGTAGTTTGAGATTTAACCCATTTGACCATTTTTTTTATCAACACTGACTTTGAGTTTTTGCCCTCCAAGGCTTCTGTAGTCGTTTGATCGAACATCTGTACATATAATATTTAGTGCTATTTTGGTTTTTGACCCTTTATGGCCACCATCCTGTACATCAATTCATTCATAATAAAAGCAGTTGTTGTAAATAACAATCGTAATTATTAGAAACATTGAAATTTGACACTTCGTCTACGTTCAGACTGCAGGGTTAACGGACTAGGGCTAGAGGTGGCAGCGATCTGAGCAATCAGAATAAGGTCAGCAGGAGTGAAGGTGTGTGAATAAAACAATAACACAAAATTAGTTCAAAGGTATATATTATAAATTTAGAGTATAAATATATAAGGGGTATGAATGATAGAAACTTATTTATATTACATTATTATTATTGACATGTATATATATGGGTATGATTTAACAGAAACAAAATAGCACACACAAAAAAAATGACAAAACCAGTATTTCCTTTAAGTCAAGAGTCCAGTTAATATCAGATGGTGATATAGTTCATCAAGGTTATTGTAATCCAGAGAAGAGTTATTGTAATCCGAACGAGAGTAGGTTTCCGTTGCTATGAAAGGGTTATTTTTTGTCCTACCGCGATTTCCGGCGTTTTAGCTCGCCATCCAGTTAATGTTGTTGATGTGTAGAGAGAATGATCCAGAGTGGGGGGAAAAACCTGACCTGGAACAGGGTCAGTAAAACAAAAATTAGCCATGAAATAAATTAACTTAAAATTAGCCTTAGCTCGAGTAATAGTCCATTACTAAAGGAAATGAAAATTCAATAACACAAAAATAACATCTGCTTATCATTTGATCAATAATTAATAAACTAAAATAATACTTCAAAAATATGGTGCACCTTTAAAATATCAATATCAATCAATATTATCAATTCAGTATTGTGCGCAACCGGTTGCATTCAAAATAATCATTGACTTGGGCTCGCGTTGAAAAAATAGTTATTATTCTATTAATAGTGAGGTAAATAGATTCAAATTTGGCCGTTCAATGCGAATGACGTTAGTGAAGCATTCGGGTTGATTGAAAAATAAAATAAAGTGGGAATTAAACTAAAAGTAAATTTGTTTGTCGCGCTGACGGCGTTTGTTTCCGAGGGTTAGTGGCGTTAGCTTAGCTGGCTACTTGGTGTAGACAGGTACGCACAAAAACTGCAGATATCTTACGGGAGAGGTAATTCTGTCACTCACCGTTGAGATGTGTTCTGAGGTAAACGTAAGATGTATCGGTCCAGTAAATCTTTATCAGATCCTTGATGAGGCGTCCTTATTCCAGCGATTAGCAGCAGCGCTGTAGCAGCGGAGGAGAGGAGCAGGAAGGGAGTGTTGTGTTGTGCGGCACCGGAACTTAAGGAGAGTTATCCCGCCACAGTAAGGGTGCCACCGACGTGGTGTTACGTAACGTGGTTACAAGGGCTTAACGCTCAATTCTGATTTTTTTGTGAAATCCGATGTTTTTTTCGAGGTCGTTCACATTTCCAGTTAAATGTGACTTGTCTGTGACTCCAGTGTGAACATTAAACGGTCCAAAAGTGTCCCACATGTGACACTGGAGACACGACGACGTCAACCGCAGCGAGCGTCTCTGTGTTTACAGAAGTTGTCCAAACATGGACGCAGCATCGAGCACCTGGAGATTTTAAAGTTCCTCTCGTACCGGAGCCAGAACATGAACAACTGACTTGTTTTAAGGAGGAGATTGAGAAGGAGAAGGACGAGGTTTTTGGTCGTGGTGTTTTGTGGTGAGTGGAGATGTGCTTCACTTCAGTCACACAGAGTTCAGTAACAATTTTCTCCTACTTCAGTGCAGAATAGTGACGTTTGTGTCTTGTTGATAACGTGTAGGTGGATGAATGCACTTTGGTCCGTTCACACTGAAGTCACATGTCAAAAGATCAGATATGTATCAGTTTCAGGAGCACAGATCCAAGTGTCCTGGGTCACATTTGAAAAAATCAGATCTGTGTCGTTCAGACGTCATTAAAAGATCAGATACAGGAACATAGAGACAAAAAATCGGATTTGGGTCACTTCAGGCTTCAGTCTGAACGCAGCCTTTGACACTTTGAACCTATTTATCAGTTTTGTAAGTTGACACATTTGACATTTTCACTGTTTTGATGATTAAAATGTTTGTGTTTCATATGAACTTTTAGCATCACAGACACGATTCAGCCTTTATTTTTACTGACCCGTATCGAATCGATTTGAAATATATCACACTGAACTGAAAGCTCACTGTATCAAGATATGTATCGTTAGGGGTGGGCGATATCTCGATATTTTAAATATATCAAGATCCATCCATTTTCTTCCGTTTATCCGGGGCTTATCAAGACATTTTTTAAATTGATATGGATTCTGACATATCGTACATATTGATATAATGTTTATATTTAATACTGATTTCACCACTTTGCTTGTTTGTCTTCTCTGTCGCTGCTTGTGTTTCATTCACTACCTCTGTGAACGCCCAAAGTTGGTGCCAGTGAAAAGTTTCAAGCACCACAAAACTTTTCCACCATTTACAGACAAAACCATCAGCAGCTCATCCTCATGTTCCACTGAGTCGTGTCCTTTAGCCCGAAAGAAGCTGAACCACATCAGCGACACAAGGAAAGAACTGTTTATGCAAATGAGTCATGTGGTTTTAAGTTTAGGTTCTGTAAAACGTAAACACACGTGACAAAACTGAATTAAACACATGATAATGTCAAACGGGCTGATGTGGTTTTGCTTTTTATGTTGTAAAGTTTAGTAAAGTAAAGTTTATTTATGTAGAAGATTTTAATGAATCATTTGCTGAAGTGTCACTTGTACAATAGTGTTTTGGAATCGTTGGGTTTGATCTGCGGTGGATTGTGGGATTAAACCTCAGATCCTGACGCTGGTGAGGAACATGAATCTGTTCAAATAATGAACCTCCTGAACTTCCTCTGAGATCAGAGTTTTGGTTGAACAGAGTTAATGCAAAGATGAGCTTGAACTGAGTTGTTTTATTTATGAATGAAAAGAAGAAAATATGTTTTTATTTCTTTTACTTTTACAGTTAATTTATTATTTATGTCACAGGTGTCAAACATAAGGCCCGGGGGCCAGATCCGGCCCTCCAAGACCTTTAGTCTGGCCCTCGGCTGATTTTCTACTAAAATATTTTAGTTATATTTTCTATTAAAATCTTGTTAATTTTCTGTGGTGTTTATCACAGCAGCGTCTCCAGCGTCTCTGTACGTGGCCCCTCCCACCAGAGCAGCACAAATGAAGACTTGTCTCTTTCCAAACGCTCTTAAAGGACGATCGTTTTGACTGTTGACCGTGACACCCTCATCAGAAAATGTCCAACATGAGAAAAGTGGAGCCGAGTGCAGGATTTTACAACAAAAAATGGACTTATTCCTGTTTACAGACAAGTTCATGTTAAACAAGTTTGTAAAAACTTTGTGTTGAAATTGTATTTTTCTTAAAGTTTCAGGTTGTTCATAATATTATAATATTATAAAAGAAAAGTTGATCAATTAAAAAAATTTCTGTAATAAATTTGTGTTTCTCTGCACAAATATTTGAACTTATTGTTATTTTTGGGTTTTTATGACATGAGTTTTCTGACCCGGACACTTTGGGATCAAAGTCGGTTGGATATGACCCCCGGATCAAAATGAGTTTGACACTCCTGGTTTATGTAATCAAGTCCTTCATTACATAAATCAGGGGACTTTTCGTAATCTTAAATGAGGCAGAAGCTCCTTGTTCCTACATGAACTGTCCACCTCTTGCACTTCAATAAAAAAAGACCTTGTAGAATTTGGCAGATTTGTTTTTGCAGGTGTTTTTGGGAGGTTATTTTTCTGTACACACATCGACATATATTTTTTGCTCCATATCGCCCAGACCTGTGTATCTTATCTGCAACTTCTTAATAATCCCCAGCTCTAGTTGTAAATAAAATCATCATTATTAGGAAAATCTGCTCCGTCTGTACCAAATATTCCTGGTTTCTAGAATGTGCTGGCGTCATCTGAAACCTCGAAACTTGCTCCTACTTGAGTAAAAAAAAACCTCTGAATTCACTTGCGAAATACGTACGCGTGACCTTCGAAAACAGGAGGCGCAAAGACACGGCAAACCTGGTACGACAAAAGTGACATTAGTGAAACCTGGAGGCACCGTAGAGGAGGGAGAGAGAGAGAGAGAGAGTGTGAGAGGGAGGAAAGAGCACGATAAAACCACCGCACTGACACTAGAGTTTGAACCAAAACAAAAAAACAAAAAAACGAGAGTGACCGGGGAGGGGGCGGGGACAAGCACAAGCGCCATGGCAACACATAGAAAGGAAGAAAAGAGTTACCCATAAGAAGCCGGCGTTTCACCCGCTTGTCTACATCAGCTACTGACGAGGAATTCAACTCTGACCTCTCAATTGCAGCCTCATCTTTCTCTAAAACAACAAGGGACAAAGAGTGAGCAGGTTATGAGGAGCCCAGCGGTCAGACCTCCAGCCCCTCCGCGCTTCAGCAAAACAAACAAAGTAAAAAAAAAAAAAAAAAAATGAAAAAAAAATAATAAAATGGAGCCACACGAAGCGAGAAGCCATGAAGCAGACCCCTGTTAGTGTGAGCGTTAGAACCACAACTACGAGGAGGAGGAGACGTGGGTGAGGTGACCGGGTGAGGCTGGTGGACAGAGGGGGGGGGGGGGGACGGGGGGGGACGGGGAGGGGCAGGGTGAGGGGGGGGGGGACCATAGACCGCAGAAGTGGACATCGTTTACGGCGCCGACTGAGCACGAGCGCGATAAAGGTTTTTCACAACGGCTGGAGGTTTGAGGAACTTTCTCTTAAAGGTTTTCTGTGTCAAAATTGACTAAAAGTGAACAAATTACGATCAATTACGATCAGAACAACTGCAATATTAAAAAAAAAAAAAAAATGTGTAGGCCGAAGTTGGTGCACTGGGTAAAACAGATGCATTACGAAAGAAAAGTTAAAAGTGTTTGACAAGGTGTGAGGTTCTCTTAAAAGTTTAGTTTTTAGATTTTATTTATTTATTTTTTATTGTTATTTGTTTATGTATGTATATATGCATTCTATATTTTTATGAGTATGTGGATGTATGTTTATATATATTTATATTTAGGCTGGGAAAACATGTGAGGTTGAGCTGTCCTTGTTTTTTTTTTAATCGTTTTCATGTACATAACTGGCAAAAACTAAATAAAAAAATTATAAATATATATAATAAAATATATATAATTCATATATATATATATATATATATATATTATATTTTTTTTATTATTTTTTTTTAAAAAAAAAAAGTAATAAATAAATGTGTCGTATTTTCCAGCAGCTTCATAAATCTGCCCCACCACCAAATCTTCAACCAACAAACTGCACAAAGGATAAACATTCTCACATGAACAATTTATCCACAACGATCAAGAGAAGAAAGAGCAAAACTTAAAGGAAACAACGACGCTTTAATGAACTACTGAGCAAAACTAATGTTATGGCCATGAATAAAACAGAAGTAATGCAAAGTTGAAAAAACTGAGGCACTCAAAAAGTACAAAACAATTAACTACGGCAGATTAAGTTAAAATCACGTTGACATGTTTCCGCCCTTCGGTCTTCATCAGGGTAAACTCGAGATGGGCTGTTACCGTGCAGATTTAAAGTGACATGTGTAGGTCACATGTTCACATCCCCTGGTGCATGATGGGACATGTAGGCTGAACAGATTTTAGTTACAAGTTATTTAAGATATAATAGTTATTTTAGATATAATACAAGACTGTGCAACTTGTTCGCTCAGACTGATTCTACATTTAAAATTAAAAGTTACAACAGTTACATTTTTATTCAGTCTGGCGCCACCTAGTGCCTCCGTTAAATTTCATTTCTCTCCACTGACTTGGTCAGGAATCAGAATACACTAGACGATTCGCAAAAAACCCGGGAGTGCAAGTTCGGAGACATTCAGTGTTGGTAACGATTCCCGAGATCGAGGATTTAAAGCCGGAACAAAGAGAATGTTTGGTGAATCTCATCAAGGGGAAAGACGTTATTGTCCTTCTTCCTATTTGGGATTTGGGAAAAGCTTAATATACCAATTCGCCCCGTTAGAGGAGCATTACATACGTGATAAAAAGTACCAGCCAACCGTCGAGTGAACGAATTCTAACACTGCGAGGTCAAACGGTTTCTATGAAGTGAAACTAAAGCGTCACTAAAGCGTCATCGTTGTTCACCTTTACGTTTTAGTCTTTCTTCTCTTGATCGTTGTGGATAAATTGTTCATGTGAGAATGTTTATTCTTTGTGGAGTTTGTTGGTTGAAGATTTGGTGTTGGGGCAGAATTATGAAGACATTTTGACACAGAAAACCATTAACCAGAAGTTCCACAAACCTACAGCGGGACACTTCGGGCCGTTGTGAAAAAGAACTCCAGTTCACTTTCTATTGAAAAAAACTGCTCTACATGATCCTGATGATTTTATTTCATTATTTCGTCCCTGAATGAAGATCTGAACATTAACAACAGACCAATCAGGTGCCTTCTTTCCCCGAGGTCTGACTGGACAGCGTCGCTAAGCGTGAAAGGGTCGAGCACCTTCCACAACCTCGCCTACGGAATTAACCGCCATCCTCAATGAGCTTCATTTGGCTGTAGCCGAACGTCTCAGAGTGACGTCACACTCCCTCAGTCCACTTCTTCGTACTGTCTATGAGGGACACAGTTTCCACTCAGGGGACCAGAGCTGTGCCAGTCTGAGATCAACCCACCAGTGAGTGACAGGCCACTTCAGCCAATCACAGATGAGTGATCAAATCGATATCGTAACCAAGGTTCTATGAAGACTGTGACGGTTTTATTTTCTGTTTAATAACATTACAGAGTGACTAATAGTACTGGGATTTTATTTTGTTCTAAAAATGCGCCTGTTTCAAAGGATTAAGATCTGAAACAGGTTCTGAAACACCCAAAACGTGTATAAAATATCTGCAGTTCAGTCGATTCAGTGGATCCTTAGGCCTGTCACCAGAATCACTCTCACTCTCAACTCGATACAGGAGGCGTATTTACCTTTTTGACGTGTTTCAACTGCTAGTTTCTTTGCATTAGTTTTGAAATCAGTTTTTTTGAGCTGTCGACTGATGAAAAAGTGATTTCCGTGGCTAATTACTGCTTCATTCTGCAGCTCGGGCCTTTTAACGATAGTGTCTATTCTGTCTAAAGTGGTTTAGTGGGATTATCCCGCTTCACTGTTGTCGTGTTGTTGTGGTGAAGCGGCTTCAGCACTGTCGTTTGTCACCGTGTTTCTCTGGGGGGATTTACTGTGCTTCCATTTGTTATCGTGACAGGCCTGTGGGTAAATAAAAACAGTCTGCTGCGCTCTGAAGCCCTGAGTGGAAACATCCAGCCGCCCTCGTGCGTAAGGGACAGACTGGCACCGAGACACGGGACCAGGGGGCACTGTGAGGGGCACTGTGAGGGGGCACTGTGAGGGGGTGAGGGGGGTTAGGGGGTGGGGGGGCATGAGGCAGACACACACGGACACACGGGTCAGATAGGGCAGCGTGGCGGGCACACAGATGGAGAGATGGGGAGGTGGGGCGGAGGTGGGCGGAGGGGGGCACAGGGGGCGGAGGGGGGCACAGGGGGCGGAGGGCACATGCAGAAACAGCAGGAGGAGAGTCTGGGATCGCTGGTTGCCTGTTTGTCGTTTATGTGGACACAGATTTGAACTTTTGACCACAGGAAGTCCCTGAGCAGAGAGAGAGAGGAGACTGTCCAGGCTCAAGTGTGCAGGTGTGCGGTTGCCATGGTGAGGCATGTGTGTGTGCGGTTGTCATGGTGAGGGGTGTGTGTGTGTGGTTGTCATGGTGACGGGTGTGTGTGTGTGTCATGGTGACGTGTGTGTGTGTGTGTGGTTGTCATGGTGATGTGTGTGTGTGGTTGTCATGGTGACGTGTGTGTGTGTGTGTGTGCGGTTGCCATGGTGACGCATGTGTGCGGTTGTCATGGTGAGGGGTGTGTGTGTGTGGTTGTCATGGTGACGTGTGTGTGTGTGTGTGTGTGTGTGTGGATTGCCACGGTGACGTGTGCGTGTGTGGTTGGTTGTCATGGTGATGTGTGTGTGTGTGGTTGCCACGGTGACGGGTGTGTGTGTGTGGTTGGTTGTCATGGTGACGTGTGTGTGTGCGCGGTTGTCATGATGACAGGTGTGTGTGTGTGTCATGGTGACAGACATGTGTGTGTGCGGTTGCCACGGTGATGGGTGTGTGTGTGTGTGTGTGTGTTGCCACGGTGACGGGTGTGTGTGTGTGTGCGGTTGCCACGGTGACGTGTGTGTGTGTGTGTGTGTGTGTGGTTGCCATGGTGACGGGTGTGTGTGTGTGTGTGTGTGTGTGCGGTTGCCATGGTGACGAGGGTTTCTCACACAGACTGTATGAAGAAGTGCACTAAGAGCATTGGGCTCCAGTCAAATGAGGCTCATGGAGGCGGGCAGTTACAAAGGTGGAATTGTTCTATATTTGGAATTCTGACCTCGAGGATCAGAGGAACCGAAGAGCCAATCAGGAGCGAGGCTGTTGAAAGAAACGCCCTCCTCTAACACGAGCTAACACGTTACTAACACGAGCGGGAGGCGCCTGATTGGTCTGTTATTAATGTTCAGATCCTGATTCATGGACAAAATATTGAAATAAAAACCTCAGGGTCACATAGAGAGAGTTCAGACGAATATTTTAAGACCAAAACGAGGAGCCTGAGAGCAGCAGCGACACAGAGAGGGGCCACGATTTTTCAGTACAAAGTGAATTGGAGCAGGTGAGCTACGTCCACACAGTCTCTGGTGAAACTCGACCTCGACCTCAACCTGGACCTGGACCTCAACCTGGACCTGGACCTCGGGGCGAGGAGTGTTACTACAGCTCCAACACTCGCCTCTGCTAAACGAGTTACATCAAAACGAACTCTCCATCACAGGAGGAGCTTTAGAGCCACTGGACTTTCACCAGAAACACACAAGTATCTGAACTGAAACTGTGTTCGCCCGATGTTCCAGAATCTTCCTGGACCTGCCCAGTTGTTAAATGGACGATCGCATTAATCAAACGCAGCGTTTGCTCGTTGTACGTCTATAGCGAGGACCTTTAGAGCTGATAAAAACTGCAGGGAGCCCCAGAGCTCTGAAACGCAAACGCACACTCTCCACAGACGCGACTGGGAAACGGTTTAGAAACAAAAACTCCTCCAGGTCGGACTAAAGGCTGAACTGTGAGAGTCTGAGCTCTGGGTCTTTGATGTGAAGAGCTTTGTGCTCAAGAGGCTCTGATTAAGGCGGCTCCTGTGGCCCCAGGGACGTTTGGAGGAGGACGGGGTGGGGGGGGTGGAGGAGGTGGAGGAGGGGGTGGAGGGGGTGGAGGAGGGTGGA